TCTTTCTTTCTTTCTTTCTTTCTTTCTTTCTTTCTTTCTTTCTTTCTTTTTCTTTTACTTGTTTATTCTGGGATCTTGTGAAAGGCAGTATGCCTAGGATTGGTGGCCAGTTATGTGAGGAGACCCAGTGGGCTGGGATGAGGAATGGGAAATGAGGCTGCAGATGCAAAGTGGTGCTAATTCCCTTCTGACCTGAGTTGTGTGGCCAGATCTTAGTATCCTTAGGGATCAGTTTGTCCCAAGAAATCACTGGGAACTGTAAACTGAACTGTGAGGCCACCTTGCTCAGGAAGGCAATGAGAACATGGACTGAAATGTTGAAGAGGCTTATGCTTGACAAATATTGGGAAAGGAAAAAGAAATGAGAGCCATCCAAGAGAGAGAGGAGGAGAGCTGTTTGTACACAGCATCGACCCACACATTCGCGGTCCTAAGGAACACACACATGCAAAAGTATACATGTACACACATGCACATAGCCCTTCTTCCTTTTCTACCCTCTCTCTCTCTCTCTCTCTCTCTCTCTGGAGCTGACAGCTGAATAGCAAAGTTACTGCCAGGTCAATGTACAAAAATCATTGATATTTCCTTATATTGTTGTGACCAATAAGAAAGTGAACTTAAGAGAGACCATCCATAAAAGTGCCAGAATAAATATAGGAGGGCTAGGGTTAACAGAGGAAATGGAAGCCTTGTGCCCTCACATCTGCAAACAGCACCGAAAGACTAAAGAAATGGAGCCACCTTGTGCTTATGAATCAGAGATGCAATATTGTTGGACAGATTTGATATAATCCTCATCAAAATGCTAGCTGGCTTCTGCAAAAATTGATAAACTGACCCTAAAATTCCCAAGGAGATGGGAACTGGGGTGGCCAAAATGCTTCGGAATTTGTGGTGGGTGCACAATTCTGAGAACATATTGAAAAATCACTGAACCAGGGGCTGAGGAGATGGCTCACTCAGCGAAGTGTCTGCTGAGCAGGGATGAGGGCCTGACTTCAGATACCCGCCATTCATGCAGAAGCCAGGCTCAGTGGTGTGCGTCTGTAACCTCAGCCCTAAGGGTGGAGACAGGTGGATCTCAGAGACTTGCTGGCCAGCCTAGCAGATTGATCAGCTTCAAGTTCAGCAAAGGTCTCTATCTCAAAGTAAACAAGCAAATAAATAAAAAATAAGGTGGAGAGTGATGGAGAAAAACACCTGAAGTTGAGCTTTGGTCTCTACATGTACATGTGGATATACACACACCCACATGCAAGCAGACACCCCTATACACACACACACACACACATACAAAAAAAAAATCCAAAAAAACCCAAAACAAAACAAAACACTGAACTATATTCACTTTGTGGAAAAAAAAAAAGTTCAAGAGCCGAATTCTGAAAAAAAAAAAAAAAAAAGGATGAATTTCATGGTCCATCTTCCTTGGTCTTTCTCCTGTGACTCATCACCTCCAAGTGTCTGAAGGAGAGGCTGGCTCTATTCTGGCCTGTGAAAGCTGTGATCACCCTTATCTGGCTTTAACAAAGGTCCAAGGGACACTCTGCAGCTGCCGTGCCCTGTCTTCTTTAGAACAGCAATTCCCCAGGAGTCTCAAAGGTTTTGTTTATCTGATAAGCATGCTCTCAAATGTCCTCTCAGCCTTGAGGGCAGGATATGACTGTGTCTCAGAAATACCTTCGGTCATTAAATTGAAAAGTGGCTTTCGGTCTGTGGCTGGTCACCATGCACTCTGGAGCACCTTTGAAATACCCAGACCCATTTCTGGACTTATTGAGATATATCAAGAGCACTTTCAAAAAGCCTCAAATCTGCAGATTCAGTTTGCCACCCCCCTCCCAATTTCTAAACGCATTTTTCTTCTTCCATACTGCAGTATTTGCCCAAACCCACACATATATCTGTATGTACACCTGTACACGTGACTACAAGCCATACAGTCCACTGTTCAGGGAGGAGGGAGGGAGCATTGTGCTGCCTTGTTGGACACCCACCATTTAGGGCAAGCTGGTCGGCCCCACCCGGAGACAGGAGGCAATGTCACTTATGTGCCCAGGGCCGACGCATAGTAGTCCCGCCCCTGCGTGCAGTGTCATCACCAGCTAGTCCCTGATCTTTGAGAATCTAGCAGGGTTCTGAAGCTTTGGGGTGTCGGTGCCTATGTTCTAGACCACGCTGGGTACACACATGGCAGGAGGGTGGGGCCTGTTAGCATCTGTGTCTTGAAGATGTCCCAGTCCCTTGTTGTTCACTGAGAAGTTGCCGTCCTTAGAGCCAACAGGGGTTGTGGTAGGGGTCAAGGGAACAGTGACTCAGATATTCCGACCAGGGGCCACAGTGTTCCTGAGAGCCCCCAGAGGGCATAAAAGCATACTGGCATGCTGCGGTTGTCATTCTACTTGAAAGCTCTAGCTGGTACCTTGAGGCTGGTTATGGTTCTGACACCTGTGCCTATGTCATAATAGGTGACAACTGCCTTCATCAGCAAACGTGGATTGGTACCCCCCGTCCCAATCTCACCGGAGAATACTTTCACCTTTTCTTGGTATTTCCCCAACCAAAGCCTAGGATCTCTAGGGGTTCAAGACACTCCCGCAATCCTGTGGCCTGTGTTCTCCTTCCTCAGATACCCACACCTGACATCTGCAACATCCTTTCCTGTTTTTCAACCTGTTTCCAGTCCTTGTGCAGGGCTGGAGGTCGTATTAAATCGGAGCATGCTGAATGTTCTGGAATGTTGCATTGTTCTGACCACAAGAAGTCAAGAGTGCAAACAGGGTTATTTAGACCCTGAAAAAAGAATCTACATTTAAAAATCTGTGGTCTTCTTTTGGGACAAACCTGAGTCATCACTCCAGAAGGCATGAGGGGACATCAGTGCAGGCTGCCAGAATGATTATCCTGGCTTCAGCGTGTAGCTGTTTTGTATTCAATTGCAATGAGATGCCACTTAGCTCACAGTGTGAACACCTTGGCATTGCTCTTCCATGGACTTTGTGTGGTGCCCCATGTTCCCTGCATCTGGTGAGTGACTTGGCCAATCCTGAAATGCCTGCTTTACCATCTGCTTCATAAAAGGTGCACTTAATAAACAATTTTTTTCTGTATATTCCCATTGCCTTTTTCCTCCCTCCCAAGAACAATGATCTGTCATATTAATTTCTCCGGCAGGCTCCGGGGTCTCCTTCTGCTGATTATGGCTGCACGGGCTGTGGCAGGGGCTGGAGGGGGACCTGTTATCATTCTCTGGAGTCCTAGGTGTGCTTGTCTGTTTGTGAAAGGATGCAAGGATCTTGGACCAAACCCCTTGTGGGATTTGTCAAACCCATTGTGTGCTGTGGTCTAACTGGAGATTTGGGATTCTTTGGTGTCATCTTGGAGGGACCAAGCTCCCAGGGGGAAATGTGAGGAGAGCAGTCTGAGAACTGGGTTGCTAAGATTTGATGTTTGTTTATGCTCTGGGGGAGAAAGAGAAAGAGTGCAAGTTCACTCTGTTGCTTTTATTTTCACAGCTAGCTCAGATAGGAATACCCTGGGCCTCAGGCACTCCTGATGTCTATTAGTGCTGAGGGTGTATATTTTGGGCTCAGTGTTTTCTGAGCCAGAGGGGAGGTTCCAAGAAGTTTGAGGTTGGGGCCTATCCTCAGCAGTGCCTGGGGTCCTCACCTGCCCTCAATCTTCCTCAGCAAGTCATTTGAAAATAATCTCCAGCCAGCGTGGTGGCACACGCCTGTAATCCCAGCACTCAGGGAGGCAGAGGCAGGACGATCTGTGAGAGTTTGAGGCTAGCCTGGTCTACAAATACAGACCAGTACAGCCAAGGCTACACAGAAACCCTGTCTCGAAAAATAAACAAACAAAACAAAAATCATCTTGTATGGGAGAGACCCTGTGTATGCCCAGCAAACCAGCAGGACCCTAAAGAAGACAAAATTTAGAGCTAGTTTTCAATTTGCATGGAGGACCAACTGAACCAGAAAAGGATATACAGACACAAGCAAAGGATGGTGTTCCCTGGTGCAGCCAAAACCTTTTATTGCAGCACCCTCCTCATGCCCGCAGTCACTGCTTGCTCTCCCTAGCATGAGAAGACAGGTCACCCCTCTAGGGGACTGGTGCTGGTTTGTGCTATTACAGTACATGTGAACGCAAAGCCTTGCGGTAGCTGCCTCTTAACAAACCCTCCCCTTAGGCAGGGTCACAGGGGATTGTGGTGGGCTGGGCAGAGCGAGGGCGCCTGTGTTTCCACGCTGGGCTGTCTTTTCCTTCTGGCTCCCCTGCACCGTGTGTTTCCATCTTGAGGGGAACCGGAAAAAAGAATGAGCTCTCCAGCAGCCGGCATGGAGCACAGCCACGGCGCTCACCTGGCGGTATTTCCGGTGCCCAGCCTTCCCTGTAGCCCAGCCTGGCTTCAGCCTTCCCTCCGCAGCGCCACCTTGATGTTGCCGCAGACCTGGCCCAGCGCAGCAAAGACCGGGTTGCAGAAGGTGCGGATACACAGTGAGTAGATGTGGCTGATGCACTGGATCTCGATCAGGTAGCTCTTAATGCAGGGCACCACGGCCCAGATGTGGCAGAAGGAGATACAGGCGAACAGGAAACCCCAGAGCAGGGCCAGGGGCACACCCAGCAGCGTAGACAGCAGGCGGTAGCACCAGTACTTGGAGACCGTGAAAGTGGTGTAGCTCACCTTCCACACGCCATCGAAGCTGTAGGTGCCCTCAGGCTCTGCAATCACGTCTTCAAAATCTACCTGCAGGAGCAAGAAGTGCGACAGCTCAACTCAAACTGTATGTGGGCTTTTCTAGTGTTTGCTTTCATGCCTGCACCAGAAACCCTGGGAGGGAGGCCAGGGAAATGGTTTAGCACTTGTTGCTCTTTCAGAAGACGTGGATTTGGTTCTTAACATCCAC